GAAAATATCTGACAAAATAAATTTATAATTCGCAATTGTATAATTATGGACATTCTAAAATTTTAGAGTTTTCTAGTTGACATTATCTTAATATTAATGAAAAATATAACTGATTATAAAAATTACATGTGTAAACAATCTAATATATTCTTTTTATCATGATAATCTGAATACTATTCAGACCCAGGTATTTTATCATCCGCAATCCATGAAATTAAATACATACATGTCTCTTGTTCTAAATAAATATAACCTATAAGTAGGCCCTCAAAGATACCGAGAAGTATACCACCAATCACATCTAATATGTAGTGTCTTCTCATCAGTAGTCTGGACATGCATACAGAAAAGGACCACGCTAACAAAGGTGGTGAATATATCAACGATATAGGCCACAGATTGAAGAAGAAATATACAACAAATGCAGAACGAGATGAATGTCCTGATGGAAAGGAATATTTATCAGGACCCAAAGAAAATGGATCGTCATTAGTGGTTGGTCGTCTTCTTCTCGTAACTGCTTTGAGCACAGCAATCACAATGATATCGAGCAATAATCCTGAAATGATTTTTTTTTATGTATCCTAATCAATCGATTTGAGAAACATAATCAATATACTATAAGTGAATCAATTTTAATAGAATTTTATTTGAATTTTACCTATTAGAAGATTCATTTGCATTTGATACAAGGATTTGGCATTAAAAACCCAAATTGAAATAAGAGATACTGCAAGCCAAGGTATACCGTGACATGATATCTGTAGACAGATAGAAAAAAAATTAATATTCGAGAAGCTTATAACAGTAGTCAATAAAGAAATAAATAATTATTTATACCTCCAATAATTTGTTATGCACTTTTAATTGTCTTAAAATCTATGATAACAGAATAATACAATAATTCCGAGCTTTGATTAAGTATCTTAATCTTTCATTAAGTATTAATTAAAGATGAATTTATAAAATTGTAATAGATAATTTATCATGCATCTTTATTAAATCAAAATCGATATACATCAAAGTCAATTTACATACAAAAAAATACATTTTTTTTGTAATATACAAATTTATAAACATAATATGATTTTGTTTCCTATTTTATTTAAATATTAATAAATGTTGATATTCGCTGTCATTATATTCGAAGTATGAATAAACACATTATTTTATTAAATAATACCTAATTTCTACAGGAATTTCTAGAAACACTACATAATTTCTATAGAAATTTAAGCTATAAATTCATGTTGTTCTTTTATGCTCCAAATATAAATAAAAATAATCTTTTATTAATTTATTATGCTAAAATGTAAGAAAGAATATACTGTAGAATATACGATGTCATAATTGACAATATTTTTTAATTGACAATATTCTTAAAATGCTAATTAATATGTAGAATAATACGTGTAATAAGTACATATATTTTCTAAAATTAACGCACCAAGTTATTTATAATTTTGAAGAACAAAAATAATAATTAACACAATATAAAAGAGTACCAATAAAACAAGAATATTAATAAAAAACACTTATATATTTAAAAAAATCGCTCGCAAAAGAAAGAAATAAACATTGATCCGGAAATAATTTGTTTCCGAATTATAACTACATATACGTTAAAAAAAAATTGTAATTGATTTTTTATTATTACAATAACCACTTATTTCATACTGTTTTAATTACATTCTAGACTAATTTAGCGTTATTCAGGATGCATTTGGAGGTATAGTCTTGGTATTTCTCTAGTAAGATAAAAAAAATGTTTTAAATAAAAGAAATTAAAAAATGAGGTATGCGGAACAGAATATGTTTCCGCGTGATGCATCTTGGGTAATGCCAAAATTGTCCAAAATGTAGTTATTTATGTTAACACATAATGAAATAAATTACGATTGTAAAAAATAAATTACAATTTCTAACATAAAAGTGGTTATAACGTGAAAACGATGTATTTCCGAATTGACCATTATATAGCTTTTTTTAGTATTACACTTTTTGTAGTATTGCGGGCGATTTCCGGACACCTGTATGAAATAAAGAATAACTCTAAATATGCATTATAATGCATGCACAAGTAAACTGCGTTATTTGAATACTCGAAATGAACGATACGTTTCTAATAGTCTCAGATTTGTTTTTGAAGTACGATTAATTTCTGAAGACATAATTATTCCTCGATAAACGTTGTTTTTTAGTTTAATGATTCTATTTACCTTTTATTGGCTACATTATATTTATATTTTAATTATTAATATTATTAAACATATTATATACATGTCGCGTTTATATATACATTCTAAATTCTTTTTAGTTACCATGTATACATCGTAATTTTCCGAGAAAAAAGCGTAGCATCCAATTTACACTCTTTGCGATACGTATACTATTTAGTCTTTCAAATATAATAATGTGAAATAATATTATATAAATCATATTTGCAAATTAAAAAACTTAACAGTTTAAAAGATTGTTAATAAAATATGATTTATGTAAATAATATAGATTATTATATTTATAAAAAAAACTATTAGTTAATTTATATGATCCTATTACAATAAACACTCATCAGAGATGCATGTTTTACTCTTTGATTTTCCAACCAAATATGAATGCTACTTGTCTGCGTAATGCTTTTATAGTCAAATAGGAATCCGCCACAGTAATATTTATTCATCATCTGAATCTATAAAAATGATAAATATGTAAAATCAGAACCTTAGCACAATTGGTTTTGTCAAAAGGTTTAATATAATAATAATTTAGAAAAATCGAATTTTAGAAACTGAAATCATTGCTTGGACTAGGAAATTGTCCATCTCCCGGCACTTCTAACTGTTTCAATTTTTTTTCGTATAGTATCAATTTTAATACAACACTTTTCTTAGCCATATATTACAGGTGAAATTAATTAAAAAGTTCTTTTATCATCATGTAACTTTTTCTGTATGACTGAAAACTGAAAACTGATAAAATTTGATAATTTCAGTAAAAAAAGTTTTTACTATACTTTTTACATTTCTGACTTACGAAAAAAAGTTACATAACCGATACTTTTGAAAAAATGAAAAATTGCACTCTTCCTAAAATTATTTAAAAAAGTCAGTTTAAGAAATTTTTTATTTTAAGAATTAATAAATTTAGACTATTGAACAAATACCAAAACATCCTTTGAACAAAAATGCCTTATATTAACGGCAGCTTTGAATTTTTTTGGATTCAATACGATCTATAACATGTGTAATCTTGTTTTTGCTAATATTTAATTTTTATATTACATTTGATAAATTATTACAAAAATAGCAGAGTAAAAACTTCTCTATATAATTTTCTGTATAACTTTTTCTGTTAACCAGTTTTATGTGATCAGGAGAAGTTAGACTTATTACAAACTGTTCAATATTTAAGATTTATCTTTACATGATATAAACAAAGCGAATAATTACCAGAATCTAATCTCCGTTGTTTCGATGATGATTCCCAAGTCGGAGAACTCTGCGTCGTAATACTTTGCACTCCACTGGACATTGGTACACTCCCACCGTCACTGGAAGTGCTTTGTCTGGGCCTGTATTCCACAATCGAAGAACTTTGTGTCGTAGTACTTGGTATTTCGCTAGATTCTGGTATCACTGGTACATTCTCATCGCCACTCAAACTGTGTTGTTCAGGCCTGTATTTACATGTTAAAAAAATTAAACTTATTACGTATTACTTAAAAAAAAAGAAAAATGCTATAAAATACACAATATTTTAAATTCAAAGAATACATCCTATTGAGGGTCTTATCAAATCTAAATTTACATTTTTTGAAGTCAATATTGACATTATCAATTCGATAATATTTACATTTTTAATTCATTTTGCTTTATGTTTGTATAAAATTAAAGTTTTTGAAATTATATATTGAAATATAATGCCGCAGAAACATAATAACATAATGTAATATGCAAATGTTAACACATATACTAGCTAGGATATGTGATTATAAATACGGTACTTAAAGCAATTCAAATTGAACAAAGAAGTTAATTCCTTGTTATTTTACAATTTTTATATTAACTAGTGAGAAACTATTTAATTAAGATAAATGAGTGACCGTTTATTGGAATTAATTCAGATAGTAAACATATTGCACATTATACATGGATGCTAAATGCGTACCAGTATTTTGTTACATACGAATTAACCGCAATCGTCGCGATACGTTTATCAGCGATATCTTCTTTGCACTTACATACATTCATTATTGAATCAATTATCACAAATTTCGTATGCAATATATAAGCAGAAAATATTGGCATTTACAATACATTTTGCTTATATTCAGCATACAAAAAATATAATGACGATATTATGTAAAAAATTTTTAAAATTTGTAAAATTAAAAAAAATTTGAATATTCTGTGATTTATGAAATTTTTTTTTAAATCACGCGAAACATAGTTTACAATTGATTACATTTATTATAACATAATATAAATTATACTTTTATTAGAAGTTATATTTAATTTTGATATATCATTTAATATAAGAAAAGTGAATTATTCAACAATGTGTATTTCTTGAATCTCATACCTTTCCGTTTGATGTGATATTTGCGTTGCAGCTTCTCGCCTTTTTTCTCTTAAAATTTTCAATTTGTTTTGTAGATTTTCTGTTTTATCTTTTCTGTGACTCTGATGTACACTGTTATTAAAAAAATGTTTCGGAATAAATTGAAAATAAAATTAGAAATTATTTAAACGTTAAATACGAAGCGCTCTTACAGTTCCGAGTGTTAAGATGTTGAACTAACATTCATTAAAATTAAAATTAAATTAAATTAATTTATTTCAGAAATATATATATATATAAATTGAGAGCCGATAAATTATCGGATATTCACACAAATTCATTCTGATAATCCCCCCCAAATTTTCCCAAATCTTAAAAATTGTAATAAACTTATTGCGAAAAAAAGAACTAACAGCGCTTCGTATTTAATGTTTGAATATTTGAGTTCCATTTCCAATCAGATCTTAGAAATTATTTATTTGAGTTTATTTGAGTAAATCGATTAAGTAAAAAGTAACACCAATTGTAAAATTATAAATGTTAAACTAAAATACATAAAGGAAGGGTCCCGTTTGTCTACAAAACGATTATCTATACTTTTAAATATACATGTATTTTAAATAATAAAAAGTTATATTTTCCTCAAGAAGTTCTTTACAGGTTTTAAGATGCTAGTAGCATGAAATTAAAGTTTCTATTTAAATTTGGGGGGTTATTATAATATTTCACATTAACTATGTGTTGAAATCCGAAAGTAATTGTTGCAATCATTTCTAAAATGATTTCATTTAGAGTACATACGTATTCATATGTCTAATTTTGATCGTAATTGGCGCTTCTTCGTGTTTAATTGCTTTGTGATTATATTACTATTTGTAAAATGTTTATTATAAGATGTATTTTGGAGGAACAAAACCGAAGTCAGACCAACAATCGCCATTACTTTCAGATTATTATGAAGTTATAGAAATAAAACAAGTAAAACGTAATTAACTTTTGAATATGTTTAAAAAATATCTGTTCCATACTTATGCTTATCCATGTAGTGTTGGTACATCTCCTGCAAATTGTCGAGTGACAATTGAGTATCTTCTTCTAAATTTGTTGAAAACTCACATTCAGAGCAGGTTGCTAAAGTTCTATTCGTTATTTTGTAGTCTTGAAGTATCCTTTGTATAGTTCGATCATATCTTACTTCATTGTATATCTCATGTTTCGGTCCGTGATGTATTTCCCAATGGTTATGTATGCGGTATAACTTATCATTAATTAATTTAGTTTGATGTCCACATTTATATATTTGACATTCTACAATAGGACGTTGTTTATCTTGTTTTTTAATTTTAAAATTGTATTGTTGCAGTAGTGTATTACGATCTTCTGCAGTAATTTCCGATATAGTTCTTAAAGTCTCTTCCATTAAGAGATCATCATCAATGCTTTGCTTTTTTTCATTTACTTTTAGCTGTAGTTTTTCTTCCTTTTCTAGTTCAATTTGTATGGATGCTTCGTCTTCGAGGATTGGTACTTCATCTTGTAGTACTTTCAAAGTATAGCTGTGGAATCCATAAGATTAATGAATATGGTTTATTAATTTTTGTTCTATATCAGTTACGTTCTGTGTCAATTTTAGATTACTTGTCTACAATGATTTGTAGATTACCAGTGACTGCAATTCTCACGGAATTATGTATTAATAAATATATGTAAATTATATGATTATTATAACGGTCATTATCAAAGAATTAATTTATTATTTATGGCAGAAACGTAAAACGCTACATTTTTTTATTAAGTGTAATTCAATTTATCTGGGATTTTTCTTATTATCAATTCTGTACATGTACGAATATAATCATCTGACACGCGCACGTAAAAATTGTATTTAACTGAAATTTATTATATTCGGAAACTAATGACATCTAATATTTTTTATATTTCAATCTAATTTATAAAAGTTATTACTAAACATCTTAAATGTTACATGGTAAAATGTACTTAACGTATATTCGTACGTATGACAAAATAATGTACATATAAGGCTACAAAAACTGTACTGACAACTATACTACACTTGTTTTCTTATGTAGGATATACACATATCAGAGGCATTTATATAACATTAATTTCATGAAAATATATGCTCAATTTCAATTCTATTTGTAAAATCGTTTCTGTTTTTCAAATTAATAACGAAATTGTATAAAAAAATAAACAGAATGTATAAAGTCAATTTTTTATGCTTTTGGGTGTGATAAATTTGACGAATACATTTTACATACGTATCATGTGAGTTCAAGTGTTTTCCTAAGTCCGCGAGTACTTTAGCAGGCTGCGAGTCCAAACCTGTCAAGGGTTTTGTCGTCCGACAAAATGAGCACTTCACAATTTCGGTGTCCGTTATTTCGTAATTATTTAGTATTTTTCGTCCAGCAACAATCCCTACTACTTTTGCAAAAAAATTTTTTTTATCGTCTGCGTGATGTGTTATCAAATGGTTTTTAAATGGTAATGCTCTACCAAATTTACTTTTAATTGTCACGCCACAATTTGATAGAAGACATTTCCCACTGTCGATTTCGTTATAAAATTGACGTTGAAGGTTAAAGCTTGTTGCTAGGGGTTTATATTCTGGGTTGTCCATTATTTCTGATTTATCATGCTTTATGTATAAATGACTTATCATTCTAATATAATCGACAGTAAAATCAACATTTGATTGTTGTCTACAGTATTCACATTTGAATAACTGATTTTTTTCCGCGTCTAACCCCGATTCTGTGTAAAACTGCACTATATCTTCTGATTGCTGTTGAGCCATTTTCATTAACACCGTTCACTAACATGGATTGCTCATGACTAACTGCTTATTACTTGGAGAAGTGTTTACTATTTTAAAATTGATCATAACTAAGAAGTCAAGGAAAGATACACGTCTCCTTGTCAGAAAATGTAAATACTGATAACTTTAGTTAGTTTGTGTGTATTAAATATACCATTTGACCGACAAATTGTGTAGCTCTACATCTCAATAAATATTTATTACAATTCTAACATTTAATAAAATTCTAAAATCTTAAATTATTGAAATGCACAGAGGAAGAAAGAATATTCTTATATTGGAAATGTCTTTATTTTTAAAATATAAATGTTAAAATAAGATTATATAGCGTTAAACCATCGTAACTTGCTTACATGAAAAAATTTTATTTAAACCAAGTAGAATATATTCTCGTTATTCAATAATAATAATTATGATTTAAGAGAGAAGAAATACCATGTAGAAAATATCAATATCCTGAAATCGAGAATCAGAATTTCTTTAAATAGATATTAGATTTTTATTTTATTGTACCGTTTCCTTGAAACAAGCTGTTCGTATTTGTAAATTGTTTTATTGAAATTAAGCGTCCATATCATAAGTGGCTTCAATATAAAATGTACGCGCTATATGTAAGAAATAAACGCCCAGCGCCTATATTCTTTAATTCGTTTACATGTCGTCGTTATTATCGTCATAACGATAATTGCGCTGATATTTTATATAGTAAAAAGGCTGCGCAACTTTACGAACACACAACGACTGCATAACAAGTTATATATATTGTGCAATAAGCTATTACTATAGCTTTAATAAGTCTTAAAACGTAAGAAATTGATCAGTTATAGTTGAACATGGAAAGAATTTTTTTTATATACGTATGCACACACAAAAATATGTTTTCGTTATAACCGTCGTTTGCATAAAAGTTCGAAATTATTCGTATATTATAAACGAATCGATTAGAGTAGCGAGTAAAGCAAAGCTTATAATAAATCTTACAAGACTTAATAGATTATATTCTATTCTGAATAAAAGAATTTAGAGAATAGAAATTTTTAAAATAATAGGCGATTTTATCAAACGTTTTAGACTGTTAATTTTTTCGTTACATTATAACAAAATCGTATAATATTGTAATTAATAAGGAAACAAAACTTTGAATATTTATGCGTCACATTAAACGATTTACTAATTATGTTTTTATGATGACATTGATGACGCTTATATAATATATATATATATGGGTGTGTGCGTGCGTGCGTGCGTGCGTGTGTGTGCGTGTGTGTATCTTCTTTAAAATGCAATGTATTCTCTCCTTGAAACAATTAATTAATACAAAAATTTTAGAATATGTGTGCACAACAGCAGTTAATAAAAAAGCTGAGGTGCATATTCAATGCGCAACACTAAACGATTTTTAATTAATGTATGTTAATACAACGTTTAATTAATAAACCATTAATTGTAATTGTAAGAATAGCTTAAACGATGTCAAATGGTTTACGAAACAGAAAATATGCGAAGATAATTAAATGAAATTAATCTATAGAAAGAAGCATTTGAATATTATATATAGTGCTACATTTTCGAACAAAATGTTAGCGTTCATGATATGTGAAGCCTGTTTTCTGTGGCTGAACTAGCATATGCTTTTGGAACTTAAATTGAAATAAGTATATATTTGACATTTGGCGAAAGTGAGAAAGAAAATTATAGTACTGTTTAGTGCACTAAAAACATCTTATATTTTGGTCGCCGCGCAGCATTATCTATTACACAGGGCAACAATTACGATATTTTATACATATATTGTAGCGACTGTAGTTTTTTCTATTATAATACTGCGGACGACGTATTCATAAAAATATAGTAACCGAAACGAGAGATATAGAACACTTATTTGGCTACTGCATCATTTCTTGCCATGCGTAACGTGTTGATGCGTCCTGTATGTAACAGGAAAGAGTCCCGCATAAAAAAAGCAAATAAACGAGTAATTCAAAATCGGACAATCGATGATTTGAAATTTCGAATTAATTCAGTTTTGAATTTCTTAAATTCGGAAAAAAAAAACAAATCAAATCTAGTGAAATTTAAATGAAATTTTAACGAGTACACACACCAGTACATTATATATTGGAATACTAATTAAAATGGAACTTACTAGTAGTTTTATGAAAATAAAAGACAAAATTGAATATTAAAATAATATATAAATCTAAAGAAGCTACCTGAAATAAAGAAATAAAAGAACTATTCTTTACAGTAAGGTATACGATCACTGCAATGACAGGTTAATATAATTTTAAATACATGATTTGCGCTAAAATCACCTGCTGTCGCTGTATACCCCTTATTATTTATCTTTTTCTTTAACGTTTTGTATAGGTATCTGTGTTTCCATTTCTCTTCGCGGATAAATTCATAAATTTTCCCTGCAAAATAAACAGTGCAGCAATGTATATGATGGAATATTCTACGTAATTTGAGCAATTTGAAAAAAAAAAAGATTTTTTGTTCTAATTTATTAATGTATTTCTGAAGATGTCTTATTTAGAAGAAGGAGAAAATATTGTTTTTATCTTATCGTTGTGCACACTTATAATGTAAGCAACAGTAAACTTATAAGAAAAATTAAGAAGAAAAGAAAAGATACGAATTTGTTGTCGCCTTAAATGTAGTTTTTAAATATATATACTTAAATAAAAAATATGACAATATACCTTAGAAAAGTATGCGGTATGTCGCATGATATGTATTTCCTAGGCCCTTTCTAGTACTGTTCCTAGGCCCTTTCTAGTTACTGTCTAATATTATTGTATTCTCATTACTCAGTTATGCCTATAATGAGTAGAAAGTGGACAAAAACGTGGTAGAATTTTATTCTATTTATTTCATAAGCAGTTGTCTTTCTTATTAATCAATTTAACATCTATTATTTGTTTCGCTTCTATTAGTAAATTGATTCAGATTTTAAGCTGCTTTTGTGTGCAGTAACAACAAACAAAAGTTTGATTGGAATCCTAAGTAATTTTCCTTCTCAGTTACTAGACAGAAGTTCATATAACTGTTTTGTGACTGTTCAAAAAATGCAAAATTTTTTTTAGGGTAATATCTACTGAGTGGTATTGAGTTGAATTACAAGTTATGCGAAATGATATATGAATGACATACAAAGTTTTACATTTTTAAAAATTAGGCATATAAGATTTCCTCTAATTAATTTTCGTAGTTTTGCTTGGTCCATAAAAGATACGACTTCTTATCCTCGTTGATTTTCCTCAACCGTTGCAGTTCTCCTGAAAAATATCATATGGCGTTTTAGTCGCAATTATGTACAGGATTTACCTCGGAATTGACAGCAAAGAGAGTTCGATATTTTGTTAATTGTAAAATCTCCACATTTTCCCGTTGTTCTTTGCGGCTCTTGAGAGCTTCAACGCAAATGACTACCAACAGAATAGAGATCAAGCAAGCCACCACTATGCCAGCTTGACGAGAGCTATATTCCTGTTGACTTGAAGAATGTATGTATAATGATATACATCGTATATATTACACTACATAAATAAGAATAAGATAGTCAAGTATTTGTGG